GAGCTCCCCTGCCTCCTTCTGGAAGAATCATCCACAGGGAGGTTCACGTCTCTCAGTTTGGTTCAGTCTCACAGCGAGCTGGGAACACAAACATTAAAAATAAACAAAAGTAATCAAGGAGATGATTATTAGAGGAGACAGATAATCAGGCAAACAAAATTAGGCAAACAAACTATGAGGAGTTCTGAAATACTGTCAGCGGAGGGAATCAGTCATCCGATCACAAACTACTTGTAAGGCACCTGCTAGGTGTCAGACACGCTCTAGGCTCTTGGGATGCAGCAAAGGAAAGCCAGATGAGCTTGATGCTTTCTTGGGCTCACATTCTAGGTGTTAAAGGATTGAGCTCATAGAGAACCTCATGGAGGAGGGAATGCTCGGGCAGGGCTTCAAAAAATGAATAAGAACTTGCTAGGGAGACAAGGGGGTCAAGGAGAAGACTTTCCAGACAGAATGGTTGACATTGGGATCCGTTATAGCGTCCGACAGAGTCCTTTGCTCCTAGTTTCAGATCTGTATCTCCTGCTGGGCCCTGGATCTTATCCCCAATTAGAGGTTTCAAAGATCTCTTAAACTTATCAGATCTAAGGCGGAACCCATGATCTTCCTGCCTCTGCTTTTTTCCCTGCATTTAAAAAATTCACATTTATTGAGGTGAGGTGCAATCTGCACACAGTAACATTCACCCTTTTTAGGTATACAGTTCGTGGGCTTTGACACATGGATGCAGTTGTAGAACTGCCACCGTAAATCAAGATATAAAACATTTTGATCCCTTCAAGAAGTCCTATCATAGTCCTTCATAGTCCATCTCCCTAGCCCTTCCAGCTCTGGCAACCACCGAGCTGTCTCAATAGTTTTCCTTTTTAGGACGGCATATAAATTGAATCCTACGATGTGTAGTCTTTTGTCTCTGGCTTCTTTCAGTTAGCGTAATGCTCTTATGTTTCATCCATTTTATTGCACGTTATCAGTAGTTTGTTCCTTTTATTGCTGTATCATATTCCATTGTAAGGAGGTACCACAGTTTGTTTATCCGTTCTCCAGTACATGGGTATCTGAGTGGTTTCCAGTTTTCAGTAATGATGAATAAAATTGTTATAAACATTTGTGTACAGGTCTTTGTGTAGATATATATTTTCATCTCACTTGGATAAAATACCCAGGCATGACATGCTGAGTTGTATGATAAGTGTATGTTTAACTTTGTAAAAGATTGCCAAACTGTTTTCTAAAGTAGCTATACTATTTTGCATTCCCACCGGTAATGGACGAGAGTTCCCGGTACTCTGCATCCTCACCAGCACTTTGTATTGTCTGTCTTTTTTTTTTTAAATTATAGCTTTTCTAGTGGGTGCAGAGTGGTATTTTATTGTGGTTTTAATTTGTAGTTTCCCAATGACCAATAACCTTGAGCATCTTTTCGTGAGCTTTTGTTGCCATGTGGATCTCTTCTTTGATGAAATGTCTGCTCAAATCTTTTGCCCACTTAAAAATATTGGGTTGTCTGTTTTTTTATTGTTAAATTTTAAGAGTTTTTTTTTATATATCTAGATTTCAGTTCTTCATTATATATGTGATTTACAACTATTTTCTCCCAGTCTGTGGTTGTCTTTCTATTCTCTTAACGGTGTCTTTTGAAAAGAAGTTATTCATTTTGAAGAAGTTCAATTTATCAAATTTTTATTTTATAGATCATGCTTTGCTGCTGTGTTTGAGGAATTTTTACTTGACTGGAAGTCACAAAGTTTTTTCTGTTTTCTCCTAGGAGTTTTATGGTTTAGATTTTACATTTTGGCCTATGATTCATTTGAGTTAATAGGTTTGGCAAATATTTTCTCCCAATCCGTGGCTTATCTTTGTATTTTCTTAACAGTGTCATCAGAAAGAATGAAGTTTTAAATTTTGATAAAATTGTATTATCAAATTTTTCTTTTATGGTTTGTGTTTTTCGTGTTCTAGGTAAGAAATCTTTGCGTAACACAAGAGCACTAAGACTTTTTCTTATGTTTTCTTTTAGAAGTTGTGTAGTTTTAGGTTGTACGTTTTGAGTTGATTCTTGTCTATGATGTGAACTATGGGTTGAGGTTAATTTTTTCCTTTACATGAAGATGTCCAATTGTTCCAGCACTATTTGCTGAAAAGACTATCCTTTCTCCAGTGATTTACCTTGGTACCACTGGGTGAGTCTGTCTCTGGCTTCTACCATGTTCCATTGATGTATGTATCTACTCTTATGCTGAAACCTCACTGTCTTGGTTATTGTAGCTTTATGGCAAGTCTTGAAGCCAGGTAGTGTGAGTTCTCCAACTTTCCTCTTCTTTCTCAAAGTTGGTTGGGCTATTCTAGGCCCGTTGATTTTTTGCATAAATTTTTAGAATTGTTTTGTCAATCTTTAAGTAAAAGCTTACTGGGATTTTGATTGGGACTGCATTAAATTTATGAATTAATCCAGAGAGTAAATTAACGTCTTAAAAATATCGAGTTTTCCAATCCGTGAACCTGGTATATCTCTCCATTCATACAGATCTTATTTACTTTCTCTCATTAGTGATTTGTGGTTTTTATCACACAAATCTTGCACTTATTTTGTTTGATTGGAAGGTAGGTTATGTTTTAAATCTGATTGTAAATGATATTGTGTTTTCAATTTCAATTTCTAATTGTTCATTGCTAGTACATAGAAATATAGTTGATTTTTGTATGTTGCTCATTTATTAGTTCTAGTGGCTTTTTTGTAGATTCTTTGGGATTTTATACATAGCATATAATTTCATTTATGAATAAGGATATCTTTATTTCTTCTTTACCAATCTGTATACCTTTTGTTTCTTTTTCTTGACTTATTGCACTAACACCTCCAGTACAATGTTGAATAGAAGTGGTGAGAGAAAATATCTTTGCTTTGTTTCTGATCTTGTGGAGAAAGCATTCAATCTTTCACTATTAAAAATGATATTAGCTGTCGGGCTGGCCCCGTGGCCGAGTGGTTAAGTTTGCGTGCTCCACTGTAGGTGGCCCAGTGTTTCGTTGGTTCGAATCCTGGGTGCAGACATGGCACTGCTCATCAAACCACGCTGAGGCGGCGTCCCACATGCCACAACTAGAAGGACCCACAACGAAGAATATACAACTATGTACCAGGGGGCTTTGGGGAGAAAAAGGAAAAAATTTAATCTTTAAAAAAAATGATATTAGCTGTAGGTTTTTTGTAGATACTCTTCATCAAGTTGAGGAAATTCCCTTCTGTTCATAGTTTGCTGAGAGTCCTTGATCATGAATGGATGTTGACATTTGTCAAATATTTTTTCTGCATCAGTTGAGATGGACATATAATTTTTATTTTTTATTTATTTTTATGTTTTATAGAGATTAGCACCTGAGCTAACAACTGTTGCCAATCTTTTTTTTCTTCTGCTTTTTCTCCCTAAATCCCCTCAGTACATAGTTGTATATTTTAGTTGTGGGTCCTTCTAGTTGTGGCACATGGGACACTGCCTCAGCATGGCCTAATGAGCGGTGCCATATCCACGCCCAGGATCCAAACCAGTGAAACCCTGGGCAGCTGAAGTGGAGCATGTGAACTTAACCACTCTGCCACAGGGCCAGCTATTTTTGTTATTATTTTAGTATATTAAAAAATTAATTATGTAGGGGCCAGCCCCATGGCTGAGTGGTTAAGTTCACTTACTCCGCTTCAGCAGCCCAGGGTTCAGATCCTGGGTGCAGACATGGCACCGCTCATTAGGCCATGTTGAGGTGGCATCCCACATGCCACAACTAGAAGGACCTACAACTAAAATATACAACTATATACTGGGGGGGATTTGGGGAGAAAAAAACAAGCAGGAAAAAAAAGAAGATTGGCAACATTTGTTAGCTCAGGTGCCAATCTTTAGGAAAAAAGATTAATTATGTTGATTGATTTCAAATATTGAACCAACCTTACATTCCTGGGAGAAACCCCATTTGATTATGATGTATTGTTCTTCTCATTTATTGCCAGATTTGATTTGTTAATATTTTAGTAAGGATTTTGCATCAATGTTCATGGAGGATGTTGGTCTATACTTTTCTTATGTTGTTTTTGTCTCGCATTGGTATTGGGGTAATGCTGCCCTTATAAAATGACTTAACAACTGGTTCCTCCTCTTTTATTTTCTGGAAGAATTTGTGTAGAATTGATACTATTTCTTCCATAAGTCTTTGGTAGAATTCACCAATGAAACAATCTGGGTCTAGAATTTTCTTTGTGGGAAGGTTTTTAACTAAGAATTCAATTTCTTTAATAGAAATAAAACTATTAGGTTACCTAATTCTTTTTGCATGACCTTCAGTAGTTTGTGTTTTTTAAGGAATTTTTCCATTTCATTGAAGTTGTCAAATTTGTAGGCGGCAAGTTTTTCATAATATTTCCTGATTATCTTTTAAACATCTATAAGATCTGTAATGATATCCTGTCTTTCATTACTGATATTGGTAGTTTGTGTCTTCTCATTCTCTCTCTCTTTCCTCTAGCTCGAAGTTTATCAATATTTTTGATCATTGCAAAGAATCACCTTTTGTTTTCATTGATTTTCCCTACTGTTTACTGTTTTTAACATCATTGGTTTCTGCTCTTATGTTTATTATTTCCTGCCTCCTGCTTGCTTCTTGCTTTGGTTTAATTTACTTTTCTTTTTCCAATTTCTTAACTTGGAAGCTTAAATTTTTATTTCAAAGCTTTCTTTCTTTCTTTTTTTTTAATATAAGTATTTAATGCTATAAATTTCCCTCTAAGTACTGCTTTATCTGTGTCCCAAAATATTTAACTAATTTAAAATATTTTCTAAATTCTCTTGTGATTTCTTCTTTTAGCCATGGGTTATTTAGAAATATGTGGTTTAATTCCCAAATATTTGGAGATTTTCTGGATATCATTTTGTTATTCATTTCTAGTTTAATCCTCTTATGGTCAGAGAACATAAATTATGTGATTTCACTGCTTTTAAATTTGTTGAGATTTGTTTTTTGACCCAGAATGTGGTCTATCTTGATGAATGTTCCAGGCACACTTGAAAAGAATGTGTATCCGGCTGTTGGGTGAAATTTTACATGTGTCAATTAGATCACATTTGTTGATGGTGTTCTGTATCTTTGCTGACTTCCATCTATTTGTCTTATGAATTACTGAGAGAAGAATGTTGAAGGCTCCAAGTATAATTTTGGATTTGTCTCTTTCTATCACTTTCTGTTTTATGGTTTTAAAAATTCTGTTGTTGGGAGCATACTCACTTAGGATTGTTTTATCTTCCTGATGAACGGGCCCCTTTATCATTAAGTAATGTTCCTCTTTATCTCAGCTATATTGCTTGTTCTGAAGTCCATTTTATCTGATAGTCACATGACCTTCTTCTAATTTTCCCCTTCGCAGGGGATGGCATCACCATGCAAAGAGGTGTGTAGGGTAGAAGCTGAGTTGTCATCCTTGACACCTCCCACCCTCCACCACCATATCAACCCATAATCAGATCCTGTCGTTTTACCTCCTAAATGACCCCTGAACCCTTCAGCCCCCCTCTAGCTCTACAGTCATCACCCTAGTCCAAGTTATCAATATATTATCTCTTGCTTGGCCTACTCTATTGGTTTACTAACTGATATCCTTGAATCCACTCCAGCCTAATCTGCTCTCCACACTGAAAGCAGACAGGATTAAAAGAACCACACACAAATGAAGTCACGCCTCTAAATCTAATTAGATCTTATTAGAGCCTATTATTCTCAGATCCAAAACCTTAAGGTGGTTGACAAGCCCTGCATGGTCTGGCTCTCTCTCCCTCTCCAGTCACTTCCTGGAACTTTTCTCCCTCTTAATATGGCTACACTGGCCTTCTTTCTGTTTGTGGAGCATGTCATACTCTTACTTACTCAGGGCCTTTGCACATTCAATTTCCTATATCCAGATCATTCTCTTCCCCTTAGTGCAGGCTTTTCTATTGACTTACTCATCCTTCATATCTTGTTCAAGTATTGCTTTCTCGGGGAAGTTTTCCTAACTCCTTCAAATTTAGGTCAAGTTTCTTTGTAATATACTTTCCTAGGATCATGTTTCTTTCATTACATAATGCATAGCAGTTTATATTTACATCTTTATTAGTATGATTGTTAGGTTACTATCTTTCTCTCAACTAGATTATAAGCTCCAGGAGCCATGTCTATTTTGGTCACCCTTGTGTTCTTAGTACCTGCACTTCTTAGGTGTTCAGTAAATATTTGTTGGATATATGGGGAGCCAATGGGTGGCAGAGAACAGGAAGAGCAGAAGATGAAGTGGGAAAGGTTGGTGAGGGCCAGGCCAAGAAGGGCCTTGTAGGCCGTGAAGAGTTTGCACTTCCCTGGTTCTCAACTTTATTTTGTACCAGATACACTGGGGAACGTGTTAAGAATGCACATGTCCAAGTAGCACCCCCCATCTGCAGAATAATACTCTTTGGGGTTGGAACCTGGGCCTCTGTTTGTAATAAGTTCCCTAGGGCGGCACCAAAGGCTGAGGGCTACTGTTTCAGAATCTGGGGAGACTGATGCTGGAAGCAGGGAAGTGTCGTGATCAGAATTGCGTTTTGGCAAGACCATTCTAGCTGGATGTGTTGGAAAGATATGAAGGGACAAGATCGGAGATTCCTGCCATCAACTAGGGAAGTGATAATGAATGCCCAAACTAAGAGAGAATCAGCGGAAATGCAGGGAAGAGAATAGATTCAAGGGCAATTTAGAAGTTAGAGTTGGCAGCTCTTGGTGTCTAATTGAGCATAAGAGGAAAGGAGAAGTAAGAATAGCAACAACAATAACTAAGTTATTGAGCACCTATGATGCCGGGCACGATTCTACATGCTTTCCACGTATCATGTTTTTAGTCTCATAACAGCCATGTGAGGCAGGTCATAGTACCATCCCCGGGATGTCAGGTGACTCCCAGGTTTCTTGCTTTGGAGGCAGTGATGCTGTCTGTCAGACAGGGATTCCGAGAGGAAGTGAGGCCAGGAGGGTGGTGGTAGATAGTGACTTCGGTGTGTCACCTACTGATGTTGAGACTTGGGTGAGATACCTAGGTAGCGATTGGAAACACGGGTCTGAAGCTCTCCTGAGCATCTGCAGATGTTGGTCCAGGAGCCATCATCCCTGGGAGTGGATGGGATTGGTCAGAAGAGGTTGAGGCACAATCCTGGGGGTCCTAACATTCAAGGCTCTTAATCTGACCTCCGCGGATGGGTTTCCCGAGTACTTGAGGCCTTTGAGCTCTAGGCAGATGCCGGCAATCTTTGATTGTGCCTTAGAGTCTGAAAGGGGTGCATGGTGCCCCAAAAAGATTAAGGATTCCATATACAAGCGGTGGGTAGATAAAGAGGATACAGGAATGAAGACTGGAAAGGAGTGGCCAGAGAGATAGTAAGAAATTCAGAAGGAGATGTCAGGAGGCCAAGGAAATAGTCTATTAAGAAAGAGGGAGTGGTCAGTGTTGTCGAGTCCAATATTGCAGGGCAGTCAGACAAGAGAAAGCTTGAAAAGAGTCTACCAGATTTGGCTACTAGTTGATGACGAGGGGTTTTAATCATCTCCGTGGATAGGGACAGGTAGGATGAGGTGAGAATTGAGAACGAATACGGCCTCTTCTGTTGGGAAGAGGAGAGAGAGGGGTCAAGGGTCAAGGATGATCTCCCTCCCCCCACCTTTCCCTTTTTCCCTCCTTCTTTTCTTTTTTTTTAAGGAGGAAGCGACTTGCACATGGATACGGATGGAGGGGAAAAATCTCTCCTAGGATGGGGGTGGGGGAAGCAGGACCAGAAAGAGAAGCCATTTGCTGGAGCAAGGTTCTGAGGGGGTGGAGTGCAGCGCGCAGGGGGAAGGCCTGGCTCTGAGCACAGGGAGTGCCACCTCCTTCTCCAAGCTAAGGATGGGCATGGGTATAGATAACAGGTGAGGGAGGCATTGTAAGGATGGTGGTGGCAGCTGTGGGGGCCCCTTTGGGCGCTGAGAGTCTATAATTCTGGTGACTGTCAGGTGGGGAGACACCGTCTTCTGCTCTGAAGCTGTCCCTGTCTTTTCCTTAGCCTGGAACACCCTCCTTCTTGTATTCTTGTATTCTTGTCCTCCTCCAGGAAGCTTTCCTTAACTGACACCTGCACTCCGCCCCTTTCTAGCAGTTGGCTCAGTTCCCCATTTCTTCTTCACCCCTTGGCACACAGGCCAAGAGCTCCCCCTGGTTCATTCTCTGTCTGTCTCTGGCCTCTGGATAGAAAGTTCACAGAGTGGGTAGGGAGGGGACGTGAACGCATGTATCTGTAAAATGGGTGGTTTTTCCATTAGGACTCCCCCTCCCCGGCTCTCAAGACAGGCTCTGCCACAAGAGGGTGCTCAGCCAGAGAGGGCCTGGCTGGCATGGTCTAGGCAGCCGGCCCAGCTGGCAGGACGCCAGCGAGGACCTTTGCTCCCTGTCCTGATGGCCCTGGCCTCCGTTGCCATGGCTGCCCCATAGTTTGGGATAAACAGAACTTGTCCCTCTCCTGTTCAGCTTCCTGACACCTAAGCGTGTCCTCAGAGAGGCGCTGGAATTTCAAGTGTTCAGGTGCTCTCCTCCGACCCCTGGAGGCACAAGGCTGGTGTGTCACTGAAGTTAGGCCCCATTCCCCTCCCTCACTGTTCTCCTGCTGGCCCTGCTGCTCCCTCCTCTCCCACCTATGTCCTCCTGGAACTGGGGAGGGATGGAGAAAGGGCTGGGACTCACTTGGTCTGTCACACTGGATGGTGGGATGTAGGGAGGAGCCTTTCTGTCCTGGATTACCTCCTTCGGACTATTTCCGGTCTGTGGTGACCCTCCTGAGGCCCAGGTCCAATCTTTGGTATTAATGAGAAGAATCGCAGCTTTTGTCTTCTCTTACCTTCTGTATCCTTGGGGCCAAGGGTGAGGGAGAGAAGATGGGAAAAATAAAAGTGAGGGAGAGGAGATATGGATCAAAGTGGAGAAGGGGACTCATCTGGATAGAATTGAATCATAGAATCATTCATTCATTCATTCATTCGTTCCTTGAATCAAACAAGTTCCTGCGCTGGGAGCCGAGGGAAAGAGAAACACCTGTAGGGCATGGCCCCGCTTTTGAGGGAGGGGCCTGGGTGCTGGTGTGAGGGCCCTGGACTGAGAATTCGGGGGCCCTTGTTTGAGCCCCGACTACCACTTGCTGGACAAGTTACTCCTCTGAGCTTTGGGATCCTCGTCTGTAAGTGAAGATGGTGATCGTGAATCCTCAAAATCATTGTGAGGATCGGATGAGATGGATGTGGAAGACTGCCTCATTAGCCGATGTTCAAAGCATGTTAGACGCCCATGGCTCAGGTTTACAATCAGGGAGGGGTGCTCAGGCCAGTGTAACCCAGCCCAGGGGTGTGACAATGGCCGTTCTCGGGGTCTCTGTGGGAGCGGCCACTTCTGGCCATGCTGACTGGGGCAGGCTGTGTGGGTAGGTGCCTGGTGCAAGATTTTCATTCAGTAAATGTTTGCAGAATGAATGGGGTGTGCTGGAGCCAGGGCCTTCGGGAGAGTTGGGTTTCAGCAGGTGCAGGTGACTGGGAGGTGCCAAGGGAGGGAAGGGCACATCCCTGGGGCTGGGGCGGGAGAGAGCTAGTGCCAGGTGGGGAAGGCTCAGCTCACTTGCCAGATGAGGGGTTTGACCTTTATTCTGAAGGCAACGGGAAGCTCCGAGCTGGGGGAGTGACAGGATCAAAATGGTGTTTGTCAATCAGTCTGGCTGGGCACCAGCAGAGGACGTTCTGGAGCAAAGCCTGGAGCAAAGCAAGTAGGGGAGGTGGAGGGAGACAGGGACAGAGGGGCAGAGGGAGAGTGTGTACGTGTCCAGGAGCTTCAGGGCAAGTGATGGTGATGTCACCTCCCCCTCCACTCTGCCGAGGGGCTGTTCACACCAGCGCGTTGTCGTCAGGGCAGTCTCACCCGCCTGCAAGGAGGAGGAGGGAACGGCACAGGGAAGTGGAGAACTTCTCAGGGACACCGAAGACAAGGGAACACTGCCTCCTTTCTCCTCCTCGCTCCACAAGAACCGGGGCCCAGCTCAGGGCAATAAGGTGGGAGAGGGGAGGAAGACAGGACTGGAACTGTGACCCAGGTTCCTGGGCTTTCTGGGTCCTGCTCCTGGCCTCTAAGAGAGAGGGTGAGCTAACTGTGGTTTTCAAATCTAGACAAGCAGTTAATTGTGGCAGAAAGAGCAAGAAGCCATTAGGCCCCAGAAAGACCTGTGCGTGAACCCTAGAGCACAGTACCACATGGCTAACTGGGATGACAGTGTTGTGCAGCCCGGGACCTAACTTTCCTGGAGGGAACTTGCTGGCCTGGGGCTGGCTGGCTGGTAGGAATGTGAGACCCTTAGCCCTTGTTGGGGCCAGTCGTCCTGATCATCTCTTCTTCCCCTTTGTTCCCGTCTCATTTTCGATGGACCACACACCCTGGAGTGACTCAGGTTTGCTGCCCAGGCCCACCATGCCCCCAACCCCCAGCTATGACTCAGCCTGAGTGCCTGGGAATGTAGAAATAGCTATCCTAGCTCTCCCGAGGCGGGAGATAAGGTTTATGGCCCAGATAGGCTCCTTCTCTGTGAGGTGGTCAGTTGTGCAAATACACCCCCAGCTGCATTCCTCGGGTCAAGACCCTGCCTTACTCAGTCTTTTCCAGGAATTGCAGGCTGTCTGAGAACACCCTTGGCAGAAACCTGCTCAGCACCTCCTCCCCCGGAGGTTATCTCCTCCTATCCTGGCCTTCCTCTCCTCGTGTCCTGGCCTTGTTCTGTGCTTGCCCCATTGAGGCCTGCCCCTCCCATTCTCGGCTCTTTCTTGGCTCCTGGGTGGGCCTGATCTGATCTAGGGCTGAGTGAGAAGAGATCAGCACAGCTCCTTTTTCAAAGGAGCATCCTTCCTTCCCTAGTCATTCATTTCTACTCCTACTACACCTTGGATTATCCAGTCCTTCCTTCAGTCTATCCTTTTGTTCCCTTTCAATGCTGTTATGTTCACCGCTGTTACTGCAGTGGGAGGGAGCTAAGGGGGACCCCAGAGTACAGCTGAGGGTGTGTGTCATCACAGGGGCCCTGTAGCTGAGCGGAAGGAGACGAAAGACAGGAGGAAGGTGAATCCTTGGGGAGGAGTTTGCAATTTTTTCCCATCACAGTCGGAATCCTATAGAGGAACTTCACAGGGGGCAAAGAGAATCTCTTACGAACATTATCATCCATAGTTTATTTTGTATATGAGGGGGTGAAGGCTGAGAGCCCAAATCAAGTATGATTTCAAGTTTACTGCTTTCTCCACTACGTTTCCATCACTTTTCAAAGTTCTAAATACCAAATGGATTTAACGGTAATTAATAATAAACCATAATTTCAAGGAATTTTATAAATAAATGGTTCTGCTCCTTTATTAGACAGATGAGACCACTGTAGCTCAGAGGGGAAGTGACTTGTCCAGTGTCGCACGGCAATTGAGAGACTGAGTTGAGACTAGAACCGGGGTTATTTGATTCCCAAAGTTATGTTTTCCTGCTACTCCACATTGTTCTAAGAATTGTTTAATCAATTCTCAAAATGAAAATTAATTTTCATTTCATTTCATTTTATCGCAACTTGCAGATTACTTTGGAGGCGGTGGTCGGAATTTGCAGAAGTGAAAGACCTGAGGGTGTGTCAGCTCACAGGGTGAGTGCCAAGGCCGGAGCCGGGAGTTCAGCTCCCGAGCCAGCCAGTGCTCAGTTGGCCCGGAATTCCTGAGTGTCTGCAGTCAGCAGGGCAGCCTCTGCAGGCTCCTGGAAGGCATCTTCCTTTATCAGAGGTGCTGGCGGGTCAGTATCAAAGCTTTCTTGCTGGCCTGGAGAATCTGCATTCTGGCACCCCTCAGCCTGTCTTTGGCTAGACCCAGAGGACCAGGAAAACTACCTTTCGTTTGGCATTGGAAGAGTTGGGTTGAATTCTGATCCAGGCACTTGTGTGCTCTGTGACCTTAGGAAATGTATTCAAAGTTCCTGAGCTTCCGTATCCTAATCTGCGGCCATTTGTACTTTCCTGGTAGGTTTAGTGGTGAGGATTAAATAGGGTTGTAAAAAGTCTATGGTGCAGGGAGTGCCTGGCACAGGGTACTATCTTGGAGGGATGGGGAGAGCGGGAGGTGTGGGGCAGCGAGGCTCGCCTTCGGAGGCAGACAGGGTCTGGTTCTGTCTCTCCCATTTTCTACTGCTTGAGTGCCAGCTATGCTTAACCTGGAGGCTGTTGCTTCAGCTCTAAGATGGAGATGCTGCTTGCTTCATAGTTTCTGTAAGGATTAAAAGTTGTCGTTACCGCCTTAAGGGAACTCCTAGGCCATTGCGGGTACCTGGACCCATGCCCAACTCTGGGAGACCAAGTCAGAGCTGGGGATGCTCAATCAGACTCCATGCTGGAGGGCTTGGGGGAGAAGCCTGGGAAGGAAAGTCTGGGAGGGCTTCCTGAAGGAGGTGTTTGAAGTGGAGCCAGGCTGGAGGGACAGAGAGAGCAGGAGGGCCCCTGGTCTGGTGAACTGCATAGCAGAGAGAGAGTTTATGTAGGAGCTGGCTGCCAAGTGGAACAGGGTCAGACCATGAATGAGGTGGGGCGGCTGGGGGTGGAGGGTTAGTGTGGCTGGATGTGGGAGCCATGGGGTCCGGGGTTCTGGGAGGAGGCCCAAGGAGTTTGACTTCTGTAGGTGGACACTTCTGAGCCAGAAGCACTGGTCTGGGAGGGGAATGGCCCTCTCCCTGGGTGGAACTTTCTCTCCTCTGCCTCCCATGTTCTGAGGCTGCTTCTGCTGTTTGAGCTTCTCTTAGTTTCCCCGAGATGATTACCCGGGAGACCTGGGGAGACAAGGAAGGAGGCAGCGAGGCCTTGGGGAATAGACGCGCTCAGCCTGGAATTCTGTTGGGAGCACAGAAAACACACACTGAACTGTGTTGCCATGGAAGCTTACCTAACGCTTCCCTGGGGCTAAACTGGCCTTGGCTGGCCCAGGCCCAGCCCATTTTCACCTTCCAGGTCAGTAGACTTCCCGTAAGACCCACAAATGGGTCACTGTGTCCCCCTTTGGGGTTATCTCAGCCCCTAGAGAGGAGGGAATCCGGGAGGTGGTTTGGTTATCGGGTGGTGGGGAGCAGGGCTGTCCTTGATCTAAGCTGCTCTCCCTTCTCCCTCCCATTTTCTCTCTCATAGACACACACATACACACACGTACACACACACGATGGCGCAGGCTGAGTCAATCATTTGTGAATTCATTCATCGTGCGTTGGTAGAATGCCTGCCAGGTACTTTCTAATGCTGTGGACATGGTGGTTAACAAGACAGTGAAGGTCCCTGTCATCATGGAACTTTCCTTTTGCTGGAGAGGTCTCCTAAGTCTGTCAGAATCCCTAAGATAGGACAGGTAATTTAGATGTTTAACAAATGTTAACTGAATGAGTATAATATATATTTTTCAGATTGCTAAACAAAATTAGAAAAATGTTTTTGGATCTTCTCTTCTGGGGCATCCACATGACCGCTCCCCTTGATGGGGATAACTGCACACTGACTCTGTGAAAGAGCATCGCTGGAGGAAGAGCTCGCGCAGGCTTTGGACTGACCCCAGACTGAGGTCAAGTCTTGAAGGACTTTTAGTTCCTTATCTGTAAAAAGGGGGTAATATTACCTTCCTCATGGGCTATTTTAGGGTGACGAATAATACACGTAAGAGATCTGACACTTTGATGCTTAGTGGGAACCAACAAATGAGAGCTGCCATCATCATCACCATCTTTTCCACCACCACCACCGCCACCGCCATCATGGTCACAGCAGGCCTGGGTTGAGAGTTGGGGAAGGGGAGGGGCGTCAACAGGCAGGGCTCGGTTTGCATGGCTAGCTCCCCAGGAATTGGATATGCAAGCTTCTGTTTTGCATGGTGGCAGATTTTTGCATTTTTCCCTTTATCACTATTCCACCTCCCTCTAGTTACCCTCAACCCCCCTGAGCCAGCTCTCTCTCCAGCCTAAGCACCAATCATGGGCTGGGCAGGCCCTGCAGAGGACGCAAAGATGCATGAGACACTGCTCCCTCATGCAAGGGGAACACCAGGGCTTAAATTCTCCCACGACAAATGTGTCAAAGCCGTGCGAACAAGAACACGAGTCCCACGGGGGCTGGTCTTGACGTCGATGAAAGGGTAGGGCAAGCTGCACAGAGGAAGGCTTTAGGAAAGGCAGAGGACAAGCAGGGAGGGGTGGTGACAGTCAAGCTAACATTGATGGAAGGCCTCCGACTGCCGGGCACTGTTCCCTGATCTAGTGTTCATATCGGGCCTCTTGGGTAGTTATTATCTGCATTTTTGGCAGAGGGAAAGGAACCTCAGAGAAATTAAGTAATTTGCCCAACTTCGCAATGTTAGGAAGTCACTCCAGAATTCTTTTGCTTGCCTTCACTATCCTTCAGCTTTTGGTCACACGTGGCTGCGGAGCAGAACGTGCGTAAATACGCTCAGTCCCACCAGCAGACGGGGTTCCCATTCCAGTTCTTCCCTTCACAGCTGTGTGCACTTGGGCACTTTCCCATTCCTGCCTGGCAGGGTCTTTATGAGTTTAAATGAGGTGAAGTGTGCATTGCACACAGTAGGGCCACAGGACGTGTTTCTGAGGCTCTGACAATCCATCTGATGCTCGAGTCCCCTTGACCTTTGCCTTGAACCCTTCCTTACTCACCGGAAGCCGAGACTTCCTAGATGATGCTACAGATTTCACTTGCCCGGAGCTTGAAGTTTTGGGAAGCCCTTGCTTACGGGTGAGCAGAATCTCTGGGGGCTCCTTCCTGCGGGTTCCAGTTGCATTCCTTGGACCACACAGATGAATGTCCCTTCTTCCTCCTGGCAGGCGGTGTCTCTTCTCCAGGCCTTGCACTCCCAGCTCCTGCAGCTATGTCTCTGTGGAACATGGTTCCCATTCCCCTCCTTAACCTAGACACCTCCTTGCATCACCTCTTACTTGTTCAGTTCCCTCCTAAGAGTCAGACAAGAGCCAAACACTGTTCTCCAGGCGTGGTGTGATCTGTGGGGAGAAAATGGGCTCTTCCACACTGTCATCTGCTGCTGAGGACCACGGAGGGCTTCATGGCGGCCTCCTCAAGCTGTTGCTGGAGCGAAGGCGTGCACACTTGCACACAAATGTGATGAACAATGGTAAGAAGGCAAGCGTCAACTGTGTGTCCCGGGGAGGGGCTGCTCATTCCCTCTGCAGCATCTACTCTGGGCAGGCACCCTGCCAGGTGCAGACTGGCACAGAGATGGGAACCAGACAGACACCAGAGGACCCTACCCTGTCCGCCAGAAGCTGTGGTCTCACACTCGTGGGATGAACGTGATGGCAAGGTAGGTCCAGCGGCTCATAGTAAGTATGTGCACCAGTCCGGCTGGAGCAGATGCTAGGGCTCAGCGGGAGCTCCTGGAAGCACACCTTTGTCACCTTCTTACTTCCCTTCATCTTGGACTCAGCCATGCAATCAACAACTACATCCTGTTGGTTATTTCTTCTCACAGTATGTGGCCTCCACCCTGACTTCCCACCCCACTGCTCCTGCCACACCGCAGGCCTCGTCCCTTGCGTCCTGCAATAGCCCCCTTCCTAGTCTCCTGCCTCCAGTTTGTGCCCCTACCCCCTAACCTACATATCTCAGCCCGCTTAGTCTGCCTACAGGACTTCTTTAGCCATGTCACCCTTCTGTCCCCACACCTTCCTTGGCCCTTGTGACCTACAGGATAAACTCTGTCTGGCTTTGAAACCCTCGATCCCACCCAACTCCTCACCACCCACCTTTTCTGCTCTGTTCTACGGGAATCCTGTTCCCGACCAACGACTCATCGCATTTCCAGATCTTTCCATTCTTTTCTAAGCTCAATTCAATCAAGCCTAAAACCATTTTAAATAGCTCTTCGCTTCCTCTGAAGTCCTATAGCGTATGTCTTAATCACTCATTTATGTGAAAGCAAAATTTTGTTGCTAAGGCACACAAGGTAGACTTTGGCCAGGCAGTATTTTTATTTATACAAGGGCTCAGCGTGTATACAGATATCTTTATACCCCTGCAACCCTCTCCATTTCCTTTGTGTACATTCGGGTTAGTGGAGGTAATGAACAGCTGTTGTTTTCACCTGTCCAACATCTCTTCCTCATCTTTTGCCCCATCACCTTTCTGCCCCTCTTTTATATAGTTTGGGTGGGGCTGGCCATCCCTCTCCACGGCCCGGGCACATGATCCGGTCTGGTCAAGATTACAGTATTCTAGTCCCTTGCCCACAGTGATTGGTTCTGGGGTGAGCAAGGGCCCTAAGTCAGCCCAATGAGAGTCAGCCTTGGAATTTAGCTGGAAGCACTGGGAAAGAGGCACTCCATGGTCATCGTCCTTGCTGCCAAGAAGGAAGCTAACACAGAGGAAAACAGTCAAGAGAAGAAGAGAAGGATGGCCCTGCTGTGATCGCCAAGCCTCCCATCCATCTACGCTGAAAGCCAAGTTCACCCCTGCACTTCCCAATTGTGGGAGCAAATAAATCATCTTGTGCTTAAGCCCGTTTGAGTTGAGTCTCGGTCACTTGCGATCAAGAGTCCCAAGCAATCAAGTGTGTCTGTGTGTTTGCGTTTGGATGATATGGCTGTGTGTGTATGGGTGCATATGCGACGTGCATTGAAGAGTGGCACGCACGTGGCTGTGATGGGTGGGCGAGGTGAGGGTAGCACGTTCACGGGAGGGTGATGTGTATGTGCGTGTAGGTGAACTGACAAGCTGAGAGGGCACGGAGGCGATGTGTGGCTGTGCGCACGCAGGGGGTGGGCATGGGAAGGGGTGGTGGTTTGTTCTGGCAGAGCACCTGGCTCCTGCGTGTCCTGAATGCAGGGCTGAGCTTTGTGTTTATATGGACCCAGGGAGAACCCAGCACGTACTCAGAAAATACCGGCTTATCATCGTCAGTCTCAACTTTTGGAGAAAACCCTTATTGCTTCCAGGAAGCCGAATTCCTTGGAATCCTTGAGTAATATAGAGAATCATCAAACTTTTGTTGATATTGGCACGGGAGTCAGAAACATCAGAGGCTGTTTAGACCAACCCCTCGTATCAAAGGAGGAAACCGAGACCCAGACGGGTATAATTTGTTGGGGCACAGCTGTATTTCAGCCAGATTGGGTTGTTACTTCTTTCTACTCCAGCAGGTAGGGACAGGGGTGGGCAGGGCTGGCCTTGGGGTAGCTCCCTTTTCAGGAGAACCCCCCACACCCCTGCCAGTCCTGCCTCTCCGTGGGCTGTGGCCGATTTTATGGTGGGTGATTAACCTCAGCCTTGGTATTTATGGCTTCCAGCTCTGATGGGTGCCCTTGATCCCTGAGCCTCCTCTCCAAGGTGGGCTGGGCCTTAGCTCTTTGTGCCCCCTTCCTTCCTGTTCCTCCCTCAGCCCTCACTTCACCAAAACAGCTGGTCTCCCCAAGCCAGATCTTCCCAGCCAGGGTGCCTGGCGAGCCTGGCTGTGCCCAGAGTGGGCTATAACTGTGCAATATATTGGGCCCATCAGCCCTCTGAGAGTCCCAAGGAGGGCTGTGGCGGCCATAGGCCTGACCACATCTGGTTTCAAGCAGACCTTTTTGTTTGCCCCAGCCTGCCATAGACGAGTCATCATTCCATGGAGGCCATGACCCACGACCGTGGAAAACGTTGGGAATGGTCTAAGCAGTGGCCGTACGCTCGGGTGAGGGGGGGTGGGATCTGGAGCCCAGGAGAACGCCTCTCAGAGGACCACACCTTGCCCATGACTCTTCATGACCCACCAGTGTTGCACGACTTTCTCTCCTGCCCCAGGCATGGAAGGAGCACTGTTCCTACGTATCAGGAAAGTAGGAAAGAGCCCCCTCTCTTCACCCTGAGCCTGCGGGGGGCCCGGCTGGTGTGTTAGAGTGGGCCCTTCCCTGGAACTCTTTGGAAAGTATGAGATATTAGGGAACTCAAAGGATCTTGTCCAATCCCACTTGTTATGGGTTTTTAAGGGCGTGCCTGGGGGATGTTTCTCAGACCACAAAGGGCTCCCCTTTACAAGCAGAGCCCTAGATTTTTCTGAGGAAATGGGGCTCAGGGGTGGGGGCTGAAAATGGAGACTAAAAAGTTTTCATCTCAGACAAGACTGACTCAGGCATCGCAGAGGTAAGAGAGCTCACCTCAGCATCCTTCCCCACCCTATGAGACCTCTGCCTACTCGGGGGACCCTCAGACCCAATGCTGACACTCTGCTCCTCTTCGCATCAAAGCGTGCTGACCTCAGCCCACTTCTCTCAGGCCCTGTCCCTACTAGTGCCAGTGGGCCGAGCTGAGGACAGGCTCTCAGCTGTTAAACACCATGCTGCTCCTCCTGTCCCCCATCCTGGTACCGGAGTGTGATACAATGGTTAGGAGCACGGAGAAAGAGCCACACTGCTGTGTGACCTTGGGCAGGCTTCTTAATCTCATCTGGTAAAAATGGGGTGATTATGGCACATATTTTATAGGGTTCTCATGAAGATCAAATGAATTAATATCTGTAAGGCATTTTTCGTACCATATAAATATTATTATTAAAGCATTAGAATAAGTGGCATCATGTGTCTATGTCTCCCCAACAAACAGCGAAGGCCATTAGGGACTCAGTTTCCTCGGAGCCTGCCCAACAGGTGCCTCGTATATGGTCAGCCACCAATATACTGAGTTAGTGACTAAGGACCCCTAATGGTCACTCTTCAACAGGGACTTTCAGGATAACTCTTGCCTTGACCAAAGGAGGCTCCCACCTGTCCCTAACTGGTGTAAAAGGAGCCAAAAAGCGATTTCTCTAAACTTTTTAGGCTGGTGCCTGATAAGCAAATGAGTGGATGAGTGAACGAACGGGTGAATAAAAACAGGGGGGAATCCCTGCCCCCACTCCCCACCTCGGTCCTCAGGTTGCCGGGCAGGAAATTCAGAACAACAGACCTCTGGACAATAGCTCCATTGCCAAGCAGCCCAGGCCATGGTAGTTGTCAGGGCTGGAGGGTGGGGAGGGGGTGGGGGAAGGGGGCTGAGTGGAGCCCCAGCTCCTTGCTGTTCCTCCCTCCCTCGTGCACTCCTGTCTGGTGACCTGGACACATCTTTAGAAAGCTTTTTTCCCCACAGTGGAGCTGTGGGCAGCCTGCCTGACTCCTTCCTTGGGTGTCTTCTGGGCACTCAGTCCCCCTAGGAAGCATTCTCCAGGGACTCCCTGCCTCCCACCCCCCCATCACTCGGGTCGCCCACCCTGCTGTCCTCACTGCCAGGACTGGGACCAGCTGGAGTCGTCTCTCAGTTGCTGTCTTGGTTCCTGGCCAGCATGGTGGAGTGTCAGGCTCTGGGGACTGGCCACTCTCTGTTTTCCTCCCTCAGGAGAAAACATGATCCTTTCTAGGTGGGGACCCTGCAGTGCTCTGGGCGTGGGCTCTGGCCTCCTTCCTCTGTGGAGAGAACAGTGTGCTCCTGGAGGTGTTGGTGGTGGGACCACAGCGAAAGCCTTGTGCTCAACCCTGGCTGCACAGAGGAAGCTTTAAAAAATGCTGATGGAGTGCAGCCCAGGCCATTTTGATGTGCGTGCTCCAGACAGAAAAGCTGAGTTGAGAGGAAGAACTCCAACAACCACATCCTCACACCTCACACAACAACTGCATCCTCCCACCCAGGCTTGACTGCTCATCCAATGGATGGCCTCTTCCGGTTTGGCATCCGTGGAGATGAAGCTGTGAGGATGTGAAGATGGGTGGGAGACCTCGTCGTCTCCAGGCTCTTGGGCTTCTGTCTCTTTTCCTCCACTATAACACCCACCTTGCCCCCCTCTCCCCATACTTGTTCTCTCCCACATCTCCTATCCAATCAAAATTTCAACTTAGAGAACGTTCATGGATGTCCAGTCTTCTATGTGTAAAGCTCCGTGGTGGTGGGACATGGATAAGGCTCTGAGTCAGAGGATGTGGAAGTTCTAGTCCAAACCCCTATCTGACGAGGAATCCTCTGACGGTGAGCCCAGCAGACAGCTGGCAAGCAAGCCTTGGTCTTAAGACTTCTAGGCACAGGAGGTTGCTGCCTCTCTGGTGGTCCCTTCCCATTCGGGCAGGCTTTAATCATCAGAACCACCGTTTATCATGAAGAAAAATAGGCGCCACTTACTGAGCATTGACCACGAACACTTTTGGCCTTGAGGCACGCAGCACAAAAATCAGCAATCAAATCAACTTTATTATTCATGATGTGGCTTACTGATGACGGTACCCACCATCTGGGGCTTCCTACTGAAATCAATTGTTGTTGCTGCCTTGGTGCTAAACTCAGCTATTTCTATGCCAACAGTAGGATTTTTAAAGTGATTTCAGTGCTTTGGGGACACTGCCCTGGTGACTACTGAGAGGCAGGGGCCTCTTTACCTTCTGCATCAAAACAAATGCTTCCTTCCTATCCGCTGATCCCCGTGTTGGCCCGCAAAGCCCCCACTTTATATATGTGGCTGATTTATGCTTTTGGGTGCTTTTTTGGTAACAGCTTTTTTGAGCTGTAATTCACATACCGTACAATATACCCATTGAAAGTTTGCAATTCACTGATTTTTACCATTTTCACAGGCTCGCGCAACCCATCACCATCGAATTTAGAATACTGACATCATCCCCAAAAGAAACCCTGGGCTTTTTAGCAATCACCTCCGTTCCCCCCAGCCTGGGGGTGGTTTGGTAACCACAAATCTACTTTCTGTCTCCACGGAGTTGCCTATTCTGGACATTTCACATAAACAGAATCGTGCAATATGTGACCTTCTGTGACTGGCTTCCTTCGCTAAGGTCTTCAAGGTTTGTCCACGTTGTAGCATGTGGCAGGACTTCATTCCCTTTTATTGAGAATAATATCCCATCGTATGGATACGCCACATTTTGTTTATCTGTTCATCAACTGGGGGACACTTGGGTTGTTTCCATGTTGGTTCCTATGACTAGTGCTGTTGTCAGTGTGGTGTCTGTGTTATCAGTCCTGATCACCGAGAGGAACTTGTTTAGACCATCTTTTCTGATGATTGTGAGTGATGTAATGATAGCAGTTACCCTGTCTACCCACCTCTGCTCTCAGCCTTGACACATCTGCCCCGGGCTTCAGGGCCTCCTGGGATCATTCTGTGCCTTCGCTGTGGCCCATGGTGGTGGGGGTGGTGTTGGGGGGGATGGACGGGACATGGGACAGGATGACCCATGGGACAGGGGACAGGCACAGGGACGAGGACGAGTGTCCCTCCCTCCCTTCTGCTCTCCAGGAAAGGCACTTTGGGGCAGCGTCATCTGGGTCGGGCACAGCCTGTGCAAACACTTTCCCTTTTGTTGGGCGGGCAGCGTGTGCGGATCACAGAGGCCAGAGACAGCCATACAAGGAGTTGTACCTGCTGGCCGCCCCAGGCCGGTTTTCTTCCCTCACCACTTGGCTGTAGTCCCGGGGCCTGCCCTTCTGCTCCACCCTGGAATCCCAGGCAGGGGCCGGTGGAGAGGAAGGCCCTGGCTTCTGGTCT